CTGCCCTGCTTGGGCTTGCCTCTCTCAGAACCACCCAGGCATCCCAGCTGCTACTCTTCCGTGGCTGCTGGGGACTTCACTGGCAAGCCTCTGTTCTCTGCACCCAGGCCCTGCTACCCCAGCCTCCTAGGGAAGATCTCTTCCCTGGGTTGATTTGACTTCCAGAGTGAGTTTTGAAAAGTTTTTTTTTGTTGTTGTTTTTTGTTTTTTTGTTTTTTTGTTTTTCTGAAAAAGAAAGCTGGTGGGTTTGCCCAGCCCCGAGGGGAATCTTCCTTCATGAGTGATGGCCAGGCAGAGGTTCTTAGTCTCACTGTCATTTTCCTCCTGCATTTCTAGAGAAGCCACCAGGACTTTTTTTCAAAAACAGTCTCCAGTCTTCAGATTTAAGGCCAGTGAAAGAAGCCTAGATTTTGTTCGTATTCCTCCTGCTTGAAAGTGTCTAGGATTAAGTTTGTCTCTTCATTCTGGTGTCCACAGAGCCTGGTTGGTGTCTGGCATGTGTTGAAAGCCATAACCTGTTACGGGGCACTCCTGGGTACCTGGTACTCCTTGATCCTTGCTGGCTTTCAGGCAGGTTGGGAATTCTCATTATTCCACATAAAAATGAAGGGACTGAAGCCTCCGAGGGAGATATGGCCATTAGGTGCAGTGGTTGGTACTGGCTGGGCCATGTATATGCAGGCTGAGATCTCCTGCCTCCCCCCACCCCATGTTCTTGGTTGTCCAAGTAGCAGGCACTCAGGCATTTGCTGGGCAAGCGGCCATGATGCATACAGTACCCGAAGGACAGAGGCCTTCAGTGCCTGGGGAAGCTGGAGGAAAGAGCAAGGGCGAGGTAGCTTTTAGGGCTGTGCTGTGTCCTGGTAAGATCAGGGAGTGAACCCCAAGCAAGGATGTAGGACAAAGACATACCATGTGTGGCTGGCACCTTGTCTTGTGATTCAGCCAGTGGTACCTGGGATGGCTGTTGCTGGGGCAACCATGGCTGAGTCAGGAAGGTCTGGGATGGCCCCAGAGTGACACCCTGTTCTCCTTTCCTCCTGACCCACCCCACAGCTTCTGCCTTCATCATTGCCATGCTCTTGGCCAGCCTCAACAGCTGCTGCAACCCGTGGATCTACATGCTCTTCACAGGCCACCTCTTCCACGAACTTGTGCAGCGCTTCCTCTGCTGCTCGGCTCGTTACCTGAAGGGCAGCCGGCCTGGAGAGACAAGCATCAGCAAGAAAAGCAACTCATCCACCTTTGTCCTGAGTCGTCGCAGCTCCAGCCAGAGGAGCTGCTCTCAGCCATCCTCGGCATGAGCCATAGGCCTGGCCCACCAGGCCAGCCGCTGGGTTGTGTGGCCTCTGGCCTTCCCCCTGGTGGCTGTGCATGGAGCTGTATAAGGTGCCTACTGGTTTGCATCCCTCCTCTCCTTGGGTTGGCTAGAGTGTGTGTCATATTCTGATTTGGGGTGGGGAAATGTCTCCATGGGAGATGATGGGGTCACTCATCCATCAGCGGGTCATGTGGACTCCCACCTGTTGCTACTACCCTGATCCAAGTGCTCCTGGGTGGTGGGTAGACTCTCCTGCACTTGGCTTTTGTTCCTCCCCCCTCCCCTTGTTTATCCTGGTGTCTTGTAAAAGACAGTACACCTAGGATTGGTGACCCGTTGCTTGAGGAAGCCCAGTGGGCTGAGACAAGGAGTGGGAAATGAGGCTGCAGATGCAGAGTGGTGCTAATTCCCTTCTGACCTGAGTTGTGTGGACAGATCTTAGCATCCGTAGGGCATCCCAGAAAGCACTGGGATCTGGAAACTGAGTCATGAGGCCACGTGGCTCTAGAAGGCAATGAGAACAAGAGCCGAAATGATGAAGATGCTGTTGCCTGACAAACACTTGGGAAGGAAAAGGGAATGAGAGCTATCCAGGACAGACGAGCGAGGAGAGCTGATTGTACATGACACTGACCCGTGCATATGTAATCCTAGGAGCACACACATACATATGTGTACATGCACACACATGCAAGTAGCCTTTCTCTTCCCCGCTGTGTCTCCTTTGCCCTCCCCTATCTCTCCCCAGAGCTGACAGATGAATAGCAAGGTTATTGACAGATCAATGTACAAAGATGGTTCATATTTTGTTATACTGGTGACCAATGGGAAAGTGAAGTTAGGAGCGTCCACACATAAAAGTCCCAGAATGAGTAAAGGAGGGCTAGGGTTAACAGAGAAAATAAGTGTAAGCCTGTGCCCTGGAAGCTGCAAGCAAGCACTGGAGGAAAATAAAGGAGAACAAATAAATGGGGCCACCTTGTGCTTATGAATCAGAGGCGTAATATTGTCGGACAGATTTGATGTAATCCTCATCAAAATCCTAGCTGGCTTCTGTAGAAATTGATAAAGTAATCCAAAAATTCCCAAGGAGATGGGAATTGGGGTGGTTAAGATGCTTTGGAATTTGTGGTGGGTGCACAATTCTGAGAATGTATTAAAAATTAATAAAACAAACTCCAGAGGCTGAAGAGAGATGGCTCACTCAGAGACGTGTGTGCTGAGTGAGAACCCAACTTCAGCATCCCAACATCTATATAGAAGCCAGGCTCAGTATGTCTTAACCTCAGTCCAGGGGTGTCGTGGAGGGGGTGACTGGTGGATTCCAGAGACTTGCAGTGCAGCCAGCCTAGTAGATTGACCAGCTTCGAGTTCAGCAAAAGACTCTATCTCAAGAAAAATAACTAAGTCAATAAAAATAACTCGGACAGTGATGGAAGACTACACCGGAAGTTGACCTTTGGTCTCTACATGTACCTGTGGTTATAAAACATACACACACTTACAAACAAGCAGAAACACACACACACGCACGCACACACACACACACACAACCACTAAACTATATACACTTAAAAATGTGAAAAAAGGTTTAAGAGCTGAGTTCTGGGAAAACCAAAATGATGGATGAATTTCTTGGCCTATCTTCCTCGAATGCAGTTTCTCCCGTGACTCACCACCTCCAAGTGTCTGCAGGAGAGGCAGGCTCTATTCTGGCTTGTAAACACAGTGACCATCCCTATTTGGCTGTAACAAAGGCTGGAGAGATTCTCTGCAGCTCCGTGGCCTGTCTTCTTTAGAACAGCATTTCCCCAGGACTCTCAAAGGATTTGTTTATCTGATACACATGCTCTCAAATGTCCTCTCAGCCTAGAGGGCAGGATATGACTCTGTCTCAGAAATACCTTTGGCCATTAAATATAAGACACAACTGAATAGTGGCTTTCTGTTTGTGGCTGGTCACTGTGCACTCTGGAGTCCCTTTGAAATACCCATACTTAATTCAGGGCTTACTGAAATATATCAAGGGAGCTTCCAAAAAGCCTATAAGATCCCCAAAAGCCTGTAGATCCACTTTCTCACCCCTCCACCCACATCTGAACACATTTTCTTTTGCTACACTGCACCATTTGCCCAAACCCACACACATGCCTATGTGCACACATGCACACATGAATATGAGCCAGTACAATCCAATGTCCAGGGAGGAGGGAGCCATGTGACACAGTGCCCATGTTCAACATCTACAATTTAGGGCAAGCTAGTTGACACCAGCTAGAGACAGGAGGCAATGTCATTTATGGACCCAGGAGCATTAACCGTTATGCATGCAGTGTCACACCAACTAGTCCCTGCTCTTTGAGAAGCTAGCAAGATTTGGCTTTAGGGTGTCTGTGCCTATGTTCTAGACCATCCTGCTCACCTGGGTACAGACATGGCAGTAGCCTGTTAGCATTCATGTCTTGCAGATGTTCTGAGTCCCTGCTGTTCACAGAGAAGTTGCTATCCTTAGAGCCAACAGATGTCACTAGGAGTCAAGAGAAGGAGTGACTCATAGTCTGACCTTGGACACAGTGTTCCTGAGAGCCCCAGAGGGCATAGAAACCTATTGGGGGTGCTGCTGTCATTCTACATGAAAGCTCTAGCTGGTCTTTGGGTCTTGTCCTGACATCCATGTCTATGACATAAGTGACAATTGACTTCACCAGCAACACTGGATCGGCACCATACTGTCCTGATCTTACGGGAGAATATTTTTTATCATTTCTCCAATTGCTATTTCGCCAATGAAAGCTGAGGATCTCTAGGGGTTCAAAACACCCACCCCTCAATCCTGTGGCCTATATTCTCCTTTCTCAGACCCCACACCTGATGTCCCCAATGTCTCTTCCTATTTTCCAACCTGTTTACGATCCCCATGCAGGGTTGAAAGTTGTATTAAATTGGAGCATGGTGAACGTTCTGCAATGTTTCATTGTTCTGACCACGAGGAGTCAGTGTGCAAACTGTCAGAGTTATTTAGGCCCTGCAGGAAAAAGAGTCTGCATTTAAAAATCTGTGGTCTCCTTTTGGGACAAATCTGAGCCATCACTTCAGGGAGCACAAGGGGATGATGGTCCTGGCTTTCAGCACGTATCTTCTGTATTCAATTGCAATGAGATTCCCCTCAGCACACAGTGTGAATTCGTTGATATTGTTATCTCATGGACATTTGTGTGGTGCCCAGTGTCCCCTGCATCTGGTGAGTGACTCAGCCAATCCTGAAACACCTGCTTTACCAGCTGCTTCATAAATGGTGCACTTAATAAACATTTTTTCTGTATATTCCATTGCCTTTTTCCTCCCCCCACCAAGAACAGTAGCATCTTATATTAGTTTCTTGATAGGCTCTGGGGATACTTTCTGCTAATGACAGCTTCATGGACTGTGGCAGGGGCCAGAAGGGGACCTGATATTATTCCCTGGAGTCCTAGGTGTGCTGTGGTCTAGCTGGCAGTTTGGAATTATTTAGTGTCACCTTGAAGGGATCTGATTCCCAAGCAGGAATGTGGGGAAAGCAGTCTGAGCACTGGGTTGCTGAGGTTTGGTGTGTGTTTCTGGGGTGGAGGGGGGTGTTGTAAGTTCACACTGTTACTTTTATTTTCACAGCTAACCCAGATACATACCCTCTGGGCCTCCAGCATTCATGACGTTTGTTAGGGCTGATGGTACACACAGGCCCAATGGTGAGACCCAGTGTGTTCCCAGCTCAGTATCTTCTGAGCCAGAGGGGGGATTCCAAGAGGTCTGAGGTTGGGGCCTACTTTCACCAGTGCCCGGGGATGCTCACCTGCCCTTGGCACTCCTCAGCTGCCTCAGGGACAGCAGAAGTAATTTGAAAATAATCTCCTTGTGCGGGAGACCCTATTATGCCCAGCCAACGAACAGAATCCTGAAGGAAACAAAGTTTAGTTCTGGTTTTCAGTTTCAGAGGACTACCTGAATTTTCTGGGTTTCAGAACTAGTGAAGGACACACAACCACCTCACAGACACAAACAAAGCATAGTGTTCCCTGGTGCAGCCGAAACCCTTTATTGTAGCACCTTCTTCATGCTGGCAGTCACCTCTTGCTCTCCCTAGCATGAGGAGACAAGTCACACCTCTAGAAGACTGGTGCTGGTTTGTGCTATTACAGTACATGTGAACGCAAAGCCTTGCGCTAGCTGCCTCTTAAGGAACCCTCCGCTCAGGCAGGGTCGCCGGGGATCATGGTAGGCTGAGCAGAGCAAGGATGCCTGTGTTTCCACAATGGGCTGTCTTTTCCTTTTGGCTCCCCCCTGCACCGTGTATTCCCATCTTGAGGTGGAATTGAGAGGAGTCTCAAAAGGATGAGCTCTCCGGCAGCCCATGTGGAGCAGAGCCACGGGTGCTCACCTGGCCTTGTTCCCCCTGCCCAGCCTTCCCCACAGCCCAGCCTGGCTTTAGCCTTCCCTTCGCAGCACCACCTTAATGTTGCTGCAGACCTGGCCCAGTGCAGCAAAGAGCGGGTTGCAGAAGGTGCGGATACACAGTGAGTAGATATGGCTGATGCACTGGATCTCGATCAGGTAGCTCTTAATGCAGGGCACCACGGCCCAGATGTGGCAGAAGGAGATACAGGCGAACAGGAATCCCCAGAGCAGGGCCAGTGGAACACCCAGCAGTGTAGACAGCAGGCGGTAGCACCAGTACTTGGAGACGGTGAAAGTGGTGTAGCTCACCTTCCACACACCGTCAAAGCTGTAGGTGCCCTCGGGCTCCGCAATCACGTCTTCAAAATCTACCTGCAGGAGTCAGAAGAGGACAGCTCAACTCACAGCATATGTGGGCTTTTCTATTGTTTGCTTGCTTACTTACCTATGTCAGAAACTCAGGGGGTGAGGCCAGGGAGATGGTTTAACAGCTAAGACCACTTGCTGCTCTCACAGAAGACCTGAGTTTGATCCTTAGCATTTACAGAGAGGCTACAATCACCCATAATTCCATTCTCACGGGATCTAACATCCTCTTTTGAATTTCATGGGTCCCAGGCACTCACAGGCTACATACATACATACATACATACATACATCATTCACAGGCCATATATATATATATATATGAAACATTCATACACATAAGTAAAATAAAACTAAACAAAAGATTTATATAAAAAAAAAAGGCACATGCCTTTAGCCCCAGCACTTGGAAGGCAGAGGCAGATGGATCTCTGTGAGTTTGAGGTCAGCCTGGTCTACAAAGTAAGTTCCAGGATAACCAGGGCTCTGTTACACAGATAAACAAACAAACAAACAAACAAACAAACAGAAAGAAAACCAGAAAAAAAAGGAAGAAAGAAACTCTGGGGACGTACGTTGAGCTTCAATGGGTCTTGATAGGGTCTGGGACTGCATCCCTAATGAGTGTCCAATGTGGATGATAATATTGTGTCCCAGCCCTGTTGACTTGCCACATACTATAGCTACAGGGTACTCTGAAACCTGTCCAGCCTCTTCATTCTATGCATGGGTAAGAGGATTCCCAGAAGTTGAGTAGCATGTTCAATACTGTCATGCTAGAGCCACAGTGCCTAGTATAGTTTGACTCTGCAATGTTCCTCAAAGGTAAAACCTTGGTACCCAACACAGTACTACTGGGAGATGGTGGAATCTTTGAGAGGTAGATTTAGAGGGAAGAAGCTAGGGCATTTGAAATGGGCTCTGGAGGGGATGCTGAGAACCCTGGCCTCCCCCATCCTTTTTTGCTCCCTAGCCATCAGGAACAGTTTGGCTCCACCACGCGGTCCTGCTATGCTGTTCATGTCTTCCCACAGGACTGAGAGCAACTGGTTGGCCATGGACTGTACCTCCATATCTGCAAGGTACATGAAACCTTTGTTCTCTGTATATTGCTTATTTCGGGTGTTTGTTATAGAGGTGGAGAGAAGACACTGCCAGTGTCCTGGATAGTTGTTAGCTTGACATAAACCCAAGCCATTTGGGAAGCGGGAACGTCTATTGAGAAAACTCCCCACCAGATTGGCCTACGGATAAGCCTGCTGTGCATTTTAAGAATTAATGATTGATGTGGGAGGTCCCAGCCCCCTGTGTGTGGTGCTACCCCTGGGCGGGTGGTGCTGTGGTATTTAAGAAAGCAGACTGAGCAAGCCAGTAAGCAGCGTTCCTACATGGCTTCTGCTTCAGTTCCTGACTCCAGGTTCCTGTCCTGCTTGAGTTCCTGTCCTGACTTCCATCTGTGGTGACATATGCCTGACATCAGTTAGCTGAAATAAACCCTTTCCCCCACAAGTTGCTTTGGTCATGGTATTTTATTATGGTGTAAATCCCAATGAAGACATTCCCTTTCTATTGTTATTATTATTATTATCATTATTGTCACTATCATCCTGAAGGCGTTGTAGAGCTAGGAGCTAAGATGAGAATTGGTTGGTAGAGCATTGGTCTAGCATATACAAAGCCCTAGCTTCAAGGTCACCCTCAATGATACAGAGTTTTAAAGAGTAGTTTGGATTATACAAGTCCCTTTCTCTAAACAAAAACAACAAAACACCAAAAAGTCCAAAGAAGTTGGATGGTTATATTTATCCTGCAGAGATTTATGGGTCCCTTAAAGACATGTCATAACCTTTGGTCCTCATGAAGCTAATGTAGACAGCTCATTACAGCACTAATTGCTGTATTAAGCCTGGATGGGGGGATTTAACTCTGACTATGAGGTTAGGAAATTTCTGGGGGAAGCTGGTGTCTGAAGACTACCAGGTGGACGGAGGACCTGCAGGTTGGAAAGAGTACCAGGGCTGAAGGAACAGAAACTACTGGAAGGTAGTTGACTATACAATGTGGCATGCAGGAGATGCAGGTGCTTTCCCAAAGGCTGATGCAAGCAAGAATGGAGTGATGCTGGAGAGGGGATGCAGGAGATTTCATTACCATGAGCCTTTCTGTGACAGTGGGCAGTGTTCAACTACATCTGGGTTTTGAGCAGCCTGTTTAGTTATTGCATCTGGAAAGTGGGAGTGTTTGTGGGTGAGAATGGATGCAGGGGTCACTGAGAACTTGGTGACACCCAGTTTGGGGTAGTAGCTTTGAGTTGGAAAGATGCATGGGCCTATTGTTACCTACATCCCAGCCCAGAACTGGCATCTTCACCTCTAGTTTATTGGAACAAAATTGGAGAGTTTCTATTTCTTCAGGGATCTCCCAAAATTTCGAATCTTAGGTGCTAGGCTGGAGGCATCTTCCAACCTAAGCTGGGTTCATTCACCATCCCCACCTGTCTATTGAAAGGTTCTGACCTTAGAGGCCTTCACAACCTCCTTAGAAGGCCTCCTGGGGTAACTTGTAGAGAGACCCTCATGGCCTCAGCAACTCTGGCAGCAAAGAGAGTCATTTGGATAAAGGCTTGCTTCTCTATCTTCTCTATCTCTATCTTTGTCTCATCTGGCCCCTTTCCACTGCCTTCCTTGTCGAACCTGTCCTGATCCTGCCTCCCTTTCATGCAACAGTCCCGAGGAATAGAGTTTCCTAATGACAGGCTTCCCATTCCTCCTCACAGTGCTGGGAAACATGAGGGCTCAGAGGTAGGAGCTCTAACCTGGACCAGGACCAGGCTCAATCCAAGCATCCTGACTACTCCACTGTCTTCCTGCTACCCTAACTGGGGTCGGATCCCAAGGCTATGCTGAATCCCTCAGGGAAGGTGACGACTCTCAGTGAGATCTAGCCCTTAATAGGCAGAACAACCTATTCCAAGACAGAATCTTTATCTTTACACCCACCCAGATCTGAGGGTCATCAATCACTGTAGCTCAGATTACCCCTTCATTCCAGCAACTTCCTCCATTTGACATACCTTTCCTGTTTGTGCCGGGCTCTAAAGTCACTGCTGTGCTTTAGAACCTGAGTAGCTACTTATTGGCTGGATAACCAAGCAGGTCATTGCGTTTTTCTGGGTTGCATTTTTCTTGCCCTGTTTTGTAGGAGTTGTCAGAGGATTGAATGAATTGAGACATACAAATACTCAGAACCCTTAATGGCACGGTTAGGAATGGCTAGCTGCTGCTAGAGTTTGGATACAAAATGTTCTCTAATGGAACAATTGTTAAAGCCTTGGTCCCCAGGGAGGCACTACCGGGAGACCAAAAAACCTTTTTTGTTGGCGTCTAGTGGAAGATTGTTAGACTATAGGTGTGATGTGCCCTTCAAGAGAATTTTGTGCCTTCCTCTTTCTTTTTCACTTCCCTGCCATGAAGTGAATGGCTTGCTCCAACGTGTGTTTTCAGCCGTGAAGAACTGTCTCATCATAGACTCAAAGCAATAGGGCCCTCTGTCATAGACTTCTAAAACTGTGAGCGCAAACCAACCTGCACTCTTCCTAAGTTGGATGTCTTGGGTACTTGATATACACAAATGGATTGAATAACTGTTGCTGGAGGGAGAGGCTGTTGTAGAGCATGCTCCTCAATAGAGACCTAGCCACCCCTATAATCCCATCCCAAGGAGGCTGAGACAGGAAAATTGCTCTAAGTTTGATGAAAGCCTACACCACATAGCAAGAGGCAGGTCAGTCTGTCTATAGTGTGTGATCCTGTCTCAAACAAACAAATCAACAAACAAGCAAACCACCAACCAAGAACAAAAACCTAGAAAGCTAGAGTCCAAAGGAGAGCTTGCATGTCAGTGTAGCTGTTGACCAGATGGATGGGTTTGGTATGTCTTTTAACCTTAGTGAGTTTTGTTCTCTCCTTTTAAAAACGGAATTGGGTCAACCACAGAGGTCAGGTTTGGAGTAAGAGACTGGGGCAGGAAGGAAGGAGCTCCCAAGGAAGAGGAAATAGAATATAGTTGTGGACTGGTGATGGGAGGGGAATGGAATGGGAAGATTAATGAAGGAATCATTAATTAGAGATAATGAGGGAAGAGGGGTAAGGGAGGAAATTCAGGGAGGGGCAGTTAAAACTAAAGGGCCATTTGAAGGGTCATATGGAAACCTACTACAGTAGAAACTTATTAACATATGTACATACATGAGAGACATCTAAATGGGCTCACCAAGCACTAGGGGAAACAGATCCCAAACTAGACATCTCTTGTCACCAAATGAAACCTCCAATGCCAGGAAAGGGTTACATCTAATCCAGTTGTTGGTCAAAGCGGGCTTAAGGGAACACCCAAACAACTTATGCTATTGCCAAGGCTATTGCTTGTGATACACAAACTGATGGTAAGGCCCTATTGCTGAAGACAACAACTACACAACTCATTGAATATGAATAAATCTAGCTGCTGCCTACCTAGAGCCCTCACCACTACTGGGTATTGTTCATGACACTGGAAGCTACTCTGCATGCCACCAGAAGAGAAAGGTAAACACCAATCCAATGACAAACTTTGATTTTCCATGGGGACCTGTCTGCATACTATGCTGATATAGTAGTGGCATAAAAGTTGAGGGCGTAACCAACTACTATCTGATTGGATTGAAGACTCACTCTATGAAGTGGAGTCCATCTTCCCCACTACTCTGGAGGCCAAAGCCTGAGACCAGAAAGAAAACAATACTACTGTTCTGCTAAAGGAATTTAGTAATAAATAGACTCCTAACAACATTTTGCTATACTGATGGATCAGTATTTTTACTCAGCCATCATCAGAGAAGCTTCTTCCTGCAACAGATAGGAAGAAACACTGAGACACACAACTAAAAAAATGTCCAAAGAGTGAGACACTTTGGAACACTCAGTATTAACTGGGATGTCATTGTCAAATCCCTCCTCTTAGGGCTC